GTAATAGCTTTAACAGACTAAATCTGGGTATCAGAGTTGCTCATTGCTACTAGGTTGGCCATTGTTTCTTAACTTTTTCAGTGCATCAAACCAGTAAATAGGTGTTACATTTTTAAGAGAATATACACAATCAACTTCCATCCCGGGCTGCTACTCTTTTCCCTTATAAGTAATTATTTTTATCAGTTTTTGTTTTACTCTGCTAGTTTAGATAACATAATAGAATATTATATGGATATTAGTTTTCTCTTCTCCTCAGAGATAAAAGGTGGCATATTCTACCTCAGTGAAAATTCTAGAAGCTCAGAGGTGTTTGAGATATCCCTCTAAGGTAAAGGATAAATAGTTGCACCTCACCTCTCCTACAACCAAAAAAGAGGTACACCATCTGGTGGGCTTCTTTGGATTTTGGTGGCAATATATTCCTCATATGGGTGTGTAACTCTGACCATTTACTGAGTGACCTGAAAAGCTGCTAGTGTTGTGTAGGGCCTAGAACAAGAGAAGGCTCTGTAACAGGTCTGGGCTGCTGTGCAAGCTGCTATGCCACTTGGGCCATATGGTCAAGTGAATCCAATGGTGCTTGAGGTGTTGGTGACAGATAGGGATGCTGTTGGGAACCTTTGGCAGGCCCCCATAGGTGAATGGCAACACAGGCCCTGCCATCTTTCTCAGGTAACTAATTTTGAGAAACAGCCCTTGGCCTGCTAATGGGCCTCAGTAGAGACTGGAAATAATCAAGCTTTCATGTGACCTGAGCTACCCACCATGACGTGCATGTTATCTGACCCACATAGCTATAAAGTTCGGTATGTACAGCAGCACTCCATCATCAAAGGTAAGTAGTATATATGAAATAGAGCTCAAACAGGCACTGAAGGCATAAGTAAGTTACGTGAGGAAGCAGCTCAAATGCCCATGGGCCTCAATTTTGCTACACTCCTTTCTTTCTCTCAGCCGGGACCTATAAACTAAGTTCCCTATGATCAGTTGACAGAGAAAGAGAAGTTTGGTTTACAGATGATTCTGCATGATATGCAGGCACTACTCAAAAGTGGACAACTGTAGCACTACATCTGCTTTCTAGGATGTCCCTGAAGGACAATGGCGAATGGAAACTCTCCCAGTGGGCAGAACTTTGAGCAGTGTACCTGGTTGATCACTTTGCTTAGACAAATGGCTGGACCTGCCATTTCTATATATACTGATTCATAGACTGTGGATAGTAGTTTTGCTACATGATCAGGAACTTGGAAATAACATGATTGGAAAATTGGTGACAAAGAAATTTAGGAAAGAAGTACTTGAATAGACCAACACTTACACATTGGGAATCAAGTTTTCAATACGTAAACTTTACAGGACACATTCATACTGCAGCATTCTGCCCCTGGCCCATGAAATTCATGTCCTTCTCACATGTTAAATATTCTGACTCCTTCCCAGTAGCCCCAATGTCTTCACTTGTTCTAGTACCAACTCAAAAGTCCAAAGTTTCATCCCAATCAAATATGGATGAGACTCAAGGCATGATTTACTCTGAGGCAAATTCCCTCAAGTTGTAAGCCTATAAAATCAAAACAAGTTATCTACTTCCAAAATGCAACAGTGAGACAGGCATAGGATAGATATTCTAATTCCAAAAGGGAAAAATAGGCAAGAAAAGAGGAGTAACTGGTCCCAAGTAAGTGCAAAACTGAACAACATTAAATCTCAAAGCTAGAGAATAATCTTTCTTGACTCCATGTCCCACCTTGTGAGCACACTGGGATATGGGTTAGGCTCTCAAGGCCTCAGGAAGCCCCACTCGTGTGGCTTTGCTGGGATTGGCCCTTGCAGCAGCTCTCATAGGATGGAGTCTCCTGTTCTTTCAGGCTGGGGCTGCACACTGATAGGTTTACAGGTTCACGGTCTCTGCGGCAACCCTATTACCTGTGGCTCAACTAGGCATTACCCTAGTGAGAACTCTGTAGTGCTCCTGCCCATGCAGCAGGTTTCTGCCTGGGTCACAAGGATGTCTGATACATCCATAAAAATCAAGGTGGAGGAAGCAGTGCCCCCAAAGCTCTTGCATTCTGCTCACCTGCAGAATTAGCACCACTTGGGAACCACCAAAGCTTATCATTTACACCCTCCACAGAAGCAGCCTGAGCACACCTATGTCCACTTGAGCTACAACTGAGACTGCCAAGCAGCACTGCACTAGAATGCAGGGATCAGAGTCCCAAGATGGCTCTGAGCAGTGAGCCATGAAGGACACCTCAGGCTTCTCCCTTGAAACCATTCTGCCCTCCTAGATCTCTGGACTTGTAGGAAAGGGACAACTTTGAATATCTCTGAAATGCCTTCCAAGTCTTTCTCCAAGGCATTGTCCTGATAAACAGCACCTGGCTTCCTTCTATCCATGCTAATCCCATTATCAAAGACTTGCTTGACTGCACCCTTGGATCTTTTTTCATTCTTTATATGATGCGAATGTTAATTTTTCAAATAGTTATGTTTTGATTCAGTTTTTAATTATAAATTAGAAATTACATCTTAAATCATTTCTCTTTTCTTATATCTTACTGTATACAGTTGTAAGATGCCACACAGTTCCTCCATTACCTTGCTTAGAAATTTCTTCTGCCAGATATTTTAGTTCGTCACTCTTAAATTCCACCTTCCATAAAGCCCTTGGGCATAAAAACAATTCAGTCAAAATCTTTGCCAATTTATAACAAGAATTGCCTCTATGCCAGTTTCCAATAACAAATTCCTAATTTTCATCCAAGACTCTGTGAGAATGGTCTTTACTATCCATATTTCTACCAGCATTCTGATCACAATCACTTAAGTAATCTTTAAGAAGATTCTGACTTTTTTTACAGCCATACTCTTCTTCTGAGCCCTCACCAGAATTGCCCTTAATCCTTTATTCATGGCAATGTAGGCATTTGCTAGCTGGCTCCTCCAAACCCTTCCAGGCTCTATTACCCAGTTCCAAAGCCACTTTCACATTTTCAGCTTTTTGTTATAGCAAAACCCCACTTCTTCAGTACACATTTTCCTAATCCATTTTTGTGCTGCTGGAACAATGCCACAGACTGTGTAATTTGTAATGAAGAGAAATTTATTGGCTCACAGTTCTAAAGGTTGGGAAGTCCAAGACTGAAGAGCTGGCATCTGCTGAGGGCTTCTTATTATATCATCCCATGGTGGAAGGGCAAAGAGAGGAGGAGAGACAGCAAGAGGGGGAACAAACTTGTCATTTTATAAGTGATTAATGACATTATTGTGGCATTAATCCATTTATGGGTGCAGAATCACCATGACCCTAGACATCTTAAAGGTCCCACTTTCCAACACCTTTATATTGAGAATCAGGTTTCTAACAAATGAACTCTGGAGGACACATTCAAACTATACCATTGTGGATGGAAACAAGTTGCTAACTCCAGTTCATACACAATGAGACAGATTATACAAAGGAGTAAATAACAAGAAACAAGAATCACTGGGAGCATACTTAGAGTCTACTTACCACAACATCATTAGGCCATTTCTCCATACTGATTACTGGGAATGCTTCATATGTCATGGTAATTAGACTCATATAATTTAATATTATAATTTTATAATATAATTTTAATATGAGATATTTAATATATTAAAATTTAATTGTATTTAGTTAAATATTTAATATATATTGTATAATTTAGTATTATAGTTTTAAAGTAATATAGCTCATTTTATAAATAAATTAAGCAATACCCTGGGCAGTATTGCATGTGAACACTGAGAGAGATTAGAGCATTCAAATTCCTGGTGGCTTCAGGACACAATGCCTTAATGAAATTCCAGTTTCTGTTACTGAGCAGGCATTACAAAGCAATTTGTCTGATTTACTTAACTCTTCCTAAATTCCCATAATTTAATCTAAATTATACATTAAATAATAGGCTACTTGAATAAATGTTAAGATGAAAAGTGATGAAAATTGGGGCATTTCTTGCTCATATTAGTTTTGTTGACAGTAATTTTCTACCCTCCCGGCCATTTGTTCCAGAGGAAACACATGTTGTTCTGATTGAACCCCTGCCAGTCTGCCACCTTAAAAGCCAGTCAATTCATATCGTCCTCACATAAAGGTCTCTTATGCCCAGAGAGAGGATTTCATTTCAACCATCTCCATTACCATCGTCATCATTATCACCAAGAGGTTGTTGACTGGGCATCTACAGAGGAGGGTAAAATGATCAGCCCTGGCTGTCCATCATCTACATAAGAGGTCACTGGGCATAGACAGTGTTTCTCTCAACTTTTTTCATTATTGTCCCTGTTTTGGGGGAGTTTTAGACATGTTCTTCCTCATGCATCTTTTCTGCCAAGAATGTAAGATTTTAATATCACAGGTAAAGTGGTAACTGTTTATGTACTGTGGTCCTTTGTAGGACTACAAACCATTGTAATGTCTACTGTCCTCCTTACAATCAAGAGCTAATTTTCAGCCCCTTGGGCGTAATGTTGCCTCTGTTGACAATGCGTGAAATACTGTGATGACAGCAAAGACTGGACCACATTCCTGCCTCTTACTTTATGTGTGATGCTGAAATCCTTTCTTAGCCTCTGTCAGCTTGCCCTTAGTCATCTGTAAGAGGGCACTCACTATGCCTTCCTTACATAACTAGTCTATGGTGTAAATAAGAAATCCTGTACAGCATAGATGTCACCTAGTAGGACATCAACAAATGTTCATACTGACCCACTTTTCTACTCCCTCCTAGAGAAGTGATGACTGTTACCTAAGCCAAACAGCACAATTGCCATAGATCCACCTGGAAATATAGCATGCAGTGAGAAATTAAACCTACTCATATTTGCATTATGAATGAAGCTTTTGGGAACTGTTCCTGTGTTGGAGGAGGACTGTGCTGAGGAATCAGGGGAAAGGGAAGGAGACAATGAAAACATTTCCTTTAATCCCCTGTCATTTTCTACCTCCTTATTTGATCTTCTAGACTGATATTGGAAAAGCAGTTTCTATTGAGCCCCCAAATGAAGAGAGACTGCAGATGAAAAGGAGGCAAGACTCACAAGGCCTTGATCTTCATACCAGACCCATTAGCACCTACAGGACCTTGTACTGGGATTTAGTCTGTGCTATCAGCTTCTTCAAAGAGAGAGGTTGTTGAGTGAGTACTACAAGTGCATAATACTAAAAACATGTAAAATTATAAATGTTTAAGTCCTGGAAGGTATAAAGAAGATAGCTGGGTGTCCCTTGGGGGAGTGTAAGAGTTAGAATGCCCTTTCTGTTCCTTACTAGATGATTCTGCAAAATTGATTTTATATCAGCAAGTTTAATATAGTAAACTTCAAAATGGGAATAATGACGATTTCTCCACAGAGTTACGAGAGAATAATGCAGAATATACAACTGCATGCTTTTAGCTATAAATATATAAATGACATCATAGAGTTAAGTGCTTTTTTTAAAATGTTCGGGACTCCATGTTTGGATCCCCTTCCATGAATACTCCCTTTGTGGAAGCCATCTTTCTCTCTCCTGGATTTTCCCTCTGGAGTCCCCTTCCACCAATACTCCCTTCATGGAATCCTGTCTTCCCCTCCTAAACTCCATCTCTATTCCCTTCCATTCAGTGTGGAAGCTGATTTCCTATCCTGGATTCCATCTCTCTGGATTCTCTCACTCAGTGTGAGAATTACCTGTTTCTCCTTCTCCTGTTTCTCTCTCTCTCTAAATAAAAAAAAAAGAAAATTTTCATTCTCTGAAAACAGTGTTACTTAGATATATCTAATAAGGAGATTTGAGATTTCTTTAAATATGACTAGTCATGCCATCTTGCCCATCTTACAGATATGCTGTCTAGAACTAAGAGTGCAGTGGGTGACAGGTGCCTTGCTTTCTTCTCTCATAGATATTGCAAATGTCTCTGCAAAGAGGTTGTACCAATTTGTCCTCCCTAGGCCATGTATGGAGTTTTCATGGCCCTATATTTTCCATTTTAAGAGGATATAGCATAAACACCAACTCACTGATTGAGTTTTCTTTTCAAGCACTGTAATTATTCCAGGACATATTTGAGACATAAAGTGAGATCATTGTCTTGCATTTGGTAATTTAAATGTAAAATATGCCATTTATAGGAAAATAAAATAGGGAAAGTGAAAAATAATCTAACATTCCAACAAAAGTATATCACATTAGCAAACAAAAATATAGTAAAACCCCATTATTTGTACAGATCTTGAAAAGTGAGTGTTCATATCTTGTATTTCATTGTGACAAATTAGTAAAGAGATTTTAAGGTGAATTAGACAAATGTTTAATATTCATGCTCTTTGAGGAAGCAGTCCCACTTATGGGAACTTACACTCTAGTTAACAGCCTAAGAGGTCCCTGCCACCATCAGTCATGTGTTCCTACTGCTCAGTGCTGAACTGACCATTTCCCTAATTGACTTGGTGTCTTAAGGACTCCCTGTTCCTGTTCCGTCCATCCTTTTATCCAAAGAGAAAAATAGGACTCATTGCTAGATGCCCAATTTCAATGGACCATATACTGATCAAACCCAAGGGTTGATATGGACCAGTGCTCAGATCCTTACTCCTGGAGGGACAAATAGATCTCTGGCCTTATCCATATCTGGGATAAATCTCTCTTCCTCTCCTTTCTCTGTGTCCTCAGAGGCCCTCCCTTTCCTACCAGATAAAAAGCAGCCCAATCTTTCCCTTAAGTTTAAGTTTTCCTAGAATGGAAGAAACTGGCTTCAGACATCTTTGGCTCCCACCCTGCCATAAACCTCCCCTAAGGCAAGGGGAAGGAACACCAAGTCTGGTTCCTTGCTGGAAATACATGGGGGTAAACGCAGGGAGGACAGACATTAACTCCCTCAACAGTATGTGTCCAGATACCGTTGCCAAAGATCTGCCAAAGATCTAGCACTTAAGGTGCCTAGGCTGCCAGCTACTATCCCTGGCTCTGTCAGTTTCTATGGTGATCAAATCCTTTGCCATTCTACTTTGCCCTTGCTCACCTGTAAAAGGTGACTCACAATGCCTTCCTTAGAGGAGTTTTCTGTGGGATAAATGACAAATCACATACAGAGTAGATGGTACCTAGTAGAACTTCAACAAATGGTCATCTAGGCCCACCTTTTTTTTGCTAAAGAAATCACCTGGCAGTAGAGCAGGAAGATGGAGCATGTGCTCCCACTTACATTATACATGAACCTTTGGGGCCATTTCTGTATTGCAGGATGGTTTTTTGAGGTATTGGGATGAGGTGAGAAGATCATCAAACCAATCCCCTATCATTTTCTGCCCCCTCACTTGATCTTCTACATTGATTTGGAAAAGCAGTTTCTATTGAGCCTCAAATTAAGAGAGAGTGCAGATGAAGAGGAGGCAGGAGTCACAAGCCCTTGACCCTCATACCAGACCCATTACCACCTGTAGGACCTTGCACTGGGATTTCATCTGCATCATCAGCTCTTTCAAAGAGAGAGAGGTTGTTGAGTGAGTACCCACAAGGGCATAATCCTGGCAGCATAAAAAACTACAACTGTTTTAAGTCCTAGATGGTCATCTATAAAAGACCATGGATGAACCTGGAAACCATCATTCTCAGCAAACTGACACAAGAGCAGAAAATCAAACACCGCATGTTCTCACTCATAGGCGGGTGTTGAACAATGAGAACACATGGACACAGGGAGGGGAGCACTACACACTGGGGTCCGTTGGGGGGAAATGGGGGAGGGGCGGGGGGTGGGGAAATGGGAAGAGGTAGCATGGGGAGAAATGACAGATACAGGTGAGGGGAAGGAAGGCAGCAAACCACACTGCCATGTGTGTACCTATGCAACAATCTTGCATGTTCTTCACATGTACCCCAAAACCTAAAATGCAATAAAAAAAAAAAAAGGCCATGTGTTGTCCTTTGAGGAGAGTAAGAGTTACATCCTCAATCCTGATCATACTAGATGCCTCTGCAAAATTGATTTTCTAACAGTGAGTCTGAATTGGTCATCTATAAACTGGAAATAATGATGCCTTCCTCATAGACTTGTGAGAGAATTATGCAAAATATGTAATTGTATATTTTTGGCTACAAATATTTGTGCTATCATAGAGTAAGTGTCCCTTTGCACTTTTTCCCCCCTGAAAATAGTGTTTCTGAGATTTCTCTAGTAATGTGACTTTGGGGCTGTTTAGATATTATGAACCCTGACCATTTTTATACCATTGCCCAGGCTGCTTCATTCTATCCCTGACTCCATTAGTTTGTGTGGTGAGCAAACTCTTTGCTATCCAGCTCTGTGCTTAAGGAGCAAGTGTGTTGTTCATATACATCCATGAAGACAACATAGTCGTACTCACTAGTAGGGTTGTCATGAGGATTAAATTCAGTCACTAAAGTGAAGAACATGCAGCTGGACCCTCTAAGCAATGTGTTCCATCAATATTAGTTGCCCTTCCTCTCTGGATCAGAAAACTCATGTGGCTCCTAACCTGACCCTTCAGGTAGGACTCCTTCACTTGCATATACATCAGAATTAGCTTGGAGAGGCTTTTTTAAACATTTACAGAAGCTCACTTGTTGTTGGAAATAGGACTTATGTATCAAAGTTCATTCAAGTGATTAAGCCATACTAATATGGGCCTCAGAAAGTAGATATTCCACTGGATACCTAACGTGTTATGTGAAAGCGCATTTCCCCTTCATTCTACTCGTACTAGGTATGACAAACTTTCACCTTTACTGCCAATCTCATCACTCATTTCCTTAGACGTGCCCCTTGAAAGAGCTCTCTCAGATGATTGTTAACTTAGAGATTCACAGCTCTTGTTCCTCTGTGGTGTCTCCTGTTTCAAAAGCCCAACATGGCAATATGGCATGCTTCTATAATGTTAACCTGCTGATAAAATGAGAGGACATAAAATAGCTTATTATGTGGAAATAGGATGCTGATTTTTATCCTTGACCCCAAATGTCATGAATGAGATGATGAGATGGCAAGTGACTGATGATGCTCTATTCTTCACAAGATGCCATCAGCTAGAGATGGAAGCCCTAGTATGGGCTCCTGGGGCTGCCTCTACTTCCCTCACTCCCTGAATTATTTTCTGTGGACTAAGATTTGTGCTCCGTTTGTGGCTCTGATGGTGTTGGTGTGTGTCTTCTGGGAAGTAGGAATGGGGAGGAATGCTAGGGAGGTGTCAGCTGTTAGGGAAGCCCTAAGAGGAGAGGATCCTTGTATAGGAGAGGAGTGAAAACCATGGCCCTAAATCAGGTTAGTCAGGCATGCATGTGATGTCTAATAATAAGGGTGGCACACTTCCCCTCCTAAGAGACACCTGAATTTCCTGTCAGGGAATTGCCCTGCCATGTTTGTGTGTCCTGGAAACTGATTTTTGGCACTGTAAGGACAACAGTTGTCCTCTGAAGGCTGGGTGGTGGGGTGAGGGTGGGGGAAGATTGAATCCTCAGAGCAACTTTCAAGACTCTACTGATAGAGACAGAACAGCCTGCTCTGGCTGAGAGGAGGGCAGGAGAGACAGCTAGGAGGGCAGCAGGGGCCTCTTAAAGCAGGAACCATACAGTGGTACATGAGGACCTGGACCATCAACTGTGGCTAAGTGAGATGCTGGCCTGAGATGTTAGAGCACTTTTACATGCTTTCATGAGCTGGAGCTAGAACACAGGCCTGCTGATTCTCAGCTCTGTGTTATGAATGACTGCAAGCTTTTCAAAGGAAAGGCAGATTTGGTTCTCAGCATCTTGGAAAGGCATACTTGGTTCTCACCATCTTGGAGACACAGTTTCCTCATCTCAGAAAAGGGAGCTGACACCATTCCCTTTATATGGTGGTCCTGAAGACAGACTGCTATTCTCTGTGTGCGGAAAACAAACTCTGCAAATATAAACCTATTCACATTAATGAGACAGACCCTGGGGTGACTGGAAAATGGAGGGCTCGGCTAATGGTGCAGATTGCTTAGAGCACAGAATGCTTGGCACACAGGGCTAGAATACGTAGGCTGGGTCCTTGGTAGGAGTATCTCTAGCAGGGAGAGAGGTGGGTTGCTTTTGAGGATGTTTTGAAGGGGTGATTATCTTTATCCACTTTCTTAATAGTGCCAGCATTACCTGGCAGTGCTCTTTTTTTTTTTCCAGGGACTATATTTGTCTCTGAGCCTCTGTTGCTATGCAACAGTCTCCTCTGAGCTCAGAGCATGATTCAGCGATACTGGTCTGGGCTGCTGCATCCAGAGTCATGGAGATGACATGACTGAGAGGGAGTGGGAGAAGGTCTGCAAAGCCAGTACAAGGTTGGAGTCTTGGGGTCTTGAATGGCCTGCTGTCTGGGAGGGGCCGTCTCTAGAGTGAAGACATGTCAGCCAACGCTGATGAGAGCCAGAGCGAGCCTTAAAGGAGATGGATCAATGAACAAAACATATGGAATGCATATAAAAGGTAGCTTATGCTTAACTTTTTAATATACATAGGAATTTTCTGAACAGAACTGGCAACACATTCTCCAAACTGTTTCATGAATGACTCTAAAGAATAACATCTGTTTGAGCATCTCAAAAATTAGGAGCTTTAATTTTGAAGAAAGGAAAATCAAAATGGAGATAGATGCCCTTTGCCCATATTTGCAGCTCTAGAATTCTCAGATGGGGACTCAGCAAGAGTGGTAGGAGGGAGTAGGGACCTAAGCTTGATGGCTATCAGCCTGAGCTTCTGGAATTTTCCACACATTGTCGGCAATCCTTGTGTATTCATCACTATCTGGAATCTCTAAGCCACAAGATGGGAAGGCCAGCACTTCTCTGAGATGGAGAGAAAGCTGTACCTGGGAGTGTGTATTTGGCATGATAGAGTTTGAGCCCTAAATACACAAACACACACAATGTTGTTGTGTTTCAGCCATAGACACACACACACATACAAGTACACTTTTTAACATTTTGTATATTTGCAAGTACACACACCTACTATATCTAGGCAATTATTTCAAACTGCTTCTTCTCCCATGAGCAGTATGTTTTGTACATATTCCAAAAACAGTAGGTGTATCTGTGTTTTTGTCAAACCATGTACAATTTAAAATTATTACCTCAGAGGTTTTCTTATCACATTTCAAAAAGTAAATACTTGTATTTGTAAAATGTAATATATATATATATATGTGTGTGTGTGTGTGTGTGTGTGTGTGTGTGTGTGTGTGTATAAACACCCACACGTAGAGAGTGAGAGAGAGGAAAGAGAAAGTGATAGAAATGATTACTATAGTGAAGCACATTCACATAGCTATCATTTTTTGTGAATGCACTTGAAACCTACTCTTTTACCAAATTTCCAAAGTACATTATATCACTATTAACTGTATTCATCATGCTGCACATTAGATCTTCAGGCTTATTTATCCTTTGTAGCTTTAATTTTATACCTTTGAACAACCTCTCCCCTCTCCTCCCTCCACTTCTGGTAATGATATCTCTATGCTTCTATGAGCTTGACTATTCTAGTTTCCACATGTAAGTAAAATCATGCATAATTCTTCTTTCTGTGTCTAGCTTATTTTACTTAGCATAATCTCCCCCAGGTTCATTCATGCTATCAACAAATAGTAGGGTCTCCTTTTTAAAGGCCAAAATAATATTCCATTGTGTGTGTGTGTACGTGTGTGTGTACACACATACACACATATATATACATTTACAATACAATATTCCAGTGTGTGTGTGTGTGTGTGTGTGTGTATATATATATATATATATATATATATATATATATATAAATTCCTTGATGTAAAATGGGGTAGTATTTCCATATAACCTATGCACATCCTCCCATATACTTTATTTATTTATTTATTTATTTATTTATTTTTTGAGACGGAGTTTCGCTCTTGTTACCCAGGCTGGAGTGCAATGGCGCGATCTCGGCTCACCGCAACCTCCGCCTCCTGGGTTCAGGCAATTCTCCTGCCTCAGCCTCCTGAGTAGCTGGGATTACAGGCACGCGCCACCATGCCCAGCTAATTTTTTGTATTTTTAGTAGAGACGGGGTTTCACCATGTTGACCAGGATGGTCTCGATCTCTTGACCTCGTGATCCACCCGCCTCGGCCTCCCAAAGTGCTGGGATTACAGGCTTGAGCCACCGCGCCCGGCCTCCCATATACTTTAAATCATCTCTAGATTACTTATGATACCTAATACAATGTAAGTCCTATGTAAATAGTTGTTATACTAAATTGGTTTTAAAATTTGTATTATTTTATTGTCGTATTATTTTTATTTTCCTTTCAGAATATATTTTCAGTCCGAGGTTGGTTGAATTCATGTATGCAGAATCCACAGATAAAAAAGGCCAACTGTACTTATTTATTTAATTCTCACCACAACATGAGAAGGATCTATTCTTACCTGACTTTAGACATAAGGAAACTGAGGTACAATGAAGACAGAGTTAGCAAGTGGCAAGGCTTAGATTTGAACACAGGCTGCGTGGCTCCCAAGTAAATTCATCTACCCAGCATGTGCTGCTGCCTCTCAAATGATAAGAAAAATCTTACTTTTCATCAGGGCACAGCACAATAAAACAAATAAAACAAATTGAGGTTCCGTGTATTTTCTCTGTTAACTGGGCAGAATTTTAAAATATTGATAGTAATCTGTGTTGTTTTGAATTTTGGGGAATTATGTCCAATAATACTATGGAGAATACTCCCCCAGCATCTCCTCTCCCTTCCTGTGCTGTAGGCATGTTCCTATCCTACAGTGAATGGCTCTTCTGTGGTTGGGGCAGAGAAGATTCCTGTTTTCCAGCCATTTTAACATTTTGTGTATTTTCAAGTACAATACATGTTTATTACAGATAAAAATAGATTAAATAGAAAATAGAATAAAAATACCCCAAAGCCTACTACCTAACAATAAGCTCTTCTAATGTTTTTATCTGCATTATATTCTTCCAGAAGTTTCTTATGCAGCTATTTTTATAGATATGTATGCATTTAGGTATTAATATATAAAAGATATCTCATTTGACATTTTGTTTTATAACTTTATTGCCTCACTGTAGTGGTTTAAATTGCGTCCCCTCTGTTTGGAAATCTGTATATTAAAGAATTTTCCTTTGCTTTTGACCCCAAATCTACCTCGCATTCATGGATTTATCTCTTACCTCATCGGTGTAGGTTAGGTTGGGGTGTCCACAGTGTAGAGGGGTCCCTACCTGAGAGCAGGGTGTTCATCCTTCATTGCCGCAATCTGTACAGGCTTTCCAGACTGCCTCCCAACTCTATTAGTCTCCAGGACACTGTGAACACAGCAGCCTAGACCCCATACCACTGCCCCTCTCCTCTGTCAGTTCCTCCTGCTGCCCCTGCCCCACCTTATGCCTTCCAGCCCCCAGCTATCAAGGGGCAGTAGAGCTACCTGGTGTTCCATCATATTGCTGCCCCGGAGTATTTTTTTACAGTCTTCTTTTGCACTTTTAAGTTTTTTCAGGCAGAATTTGAATAATTTGAATAATTCCATACAAGTTCATAAGCTGGGTTTTTGGGGAGGTATTGTATTTTTTGTTTTTTACACACACTTCTTTGCAAAGAAGTTTGATAATGGAGGTGCATTCGTGCCACCTTGTAACAGAAGCCTGAACTGCAGCCTGAACAAGGGTAAGCTGGATGGTGAAAGGGAGGGACTGTGGCCCAAATTTACAAGATAGAACTTTCTGGAAGTCTGAGTATAAAAGGTGGCCTACACAGGCCAAAAAAAAAAGATACTGAGGGCCTCTAAACAGGAAGTGCAGATTTTTAGTATGTTAAAGAGAAAGATATATGTGAGAGGAACTAGAAGATCATTTTAATGATTATGCTTTGAGACTTGTGGTTAAATACCTAGAAGCCTCTATAAGCAAAAATGGGATCAGACCGTTTATGATTTTTGTAACCCACTTTTACTGTTATTGTGATCACCTTTCTGTGTAAATATATTTTTATGATAACATTTGAAAGAACCTTACAACAAAATTTTAGTTTCATTTTTGTAAGGGCCTGGGTATCATCTCATCATGTGGATGCCCTAAAATTTATTTAATTGGTATCCTAATTATAAAAATTTATTTCCCTTACTGTTTTTTCTATTACAAACAGTAGTATGCGTAACACTATGCTCATATAGATGCAAGTATCTTTGTGAGCATTTATTTGTAAGTTCCTGAACCTTTGAACTATAATATTCTTCAAAATACTATTACTAATTTATATTCCTCATATCACAGTATGAAAATAATATTTTTCTACACATTAAAAATAATGTGAATCATTAATCTCATAAGCAAGAAATCATTTTTTCATCATTATTTTTATTATAATTTGTTTTTGCTACCTTCTAGAATTCCATCCTATGGATGTGATATTATCAGTTTTACAGCTCTATGTTATTCAGAGTGTTCTGATAGTTCCTATTACTGACATTCTGTGGATGAAATCTTTTCAGAGTCTGTGCACTGCAGAAGATCACAGTTCTGGGCACAGTTCCTGTAGCTGTTTGTACTGGTGAGCAGAATGTATCCTCCTGGAGAATTCTGGTATTATGATAACAAAACGTGATTGTTGTATGAGAGAGGTTGTGTGTGCCAACAACTATGTTTCCCTCTTCCTTCTGCCCGTTTATGGCCTTATGTTCCATTTGGTCTCAAAATTTAGGCTCTGCAGTGAAGGAAGGGAATTATCAGGATGACAGGCCTTACTGGATCCTCATCAACATCTTCTACTATGTCCTGAAGGTAAACTTTTTTTTTTTTTTTTTTTTTTTTGAGACGGAGTATCGTACTGTTGTCTGGGCTGGAGTACAGTGGCACAATCTCGGCTCACTGCAATCTCCGCCTCCCAGGTTCACAGGATTCTCCTGCCTCAGCCTCCCGAGTAGCTGGGATTACAGGTGCACACCACTATACCTGACTAATTTTTTGTATTTTTACTAGAGATAGGGTTTCACTATGTTAGCCAGACTGGTCTCAAACTCCTGACCTTGTGATCTTTCCACCTTGACCTCTCAAAGTGCTAGGATTACAGGTGTGAGCCACTGCGCCCAGCGAAGATAAACTTCTAAAAGAGAATTGTTGGTGCAAAGGGTGTTTACCTATGTAACCCTTTGCTAGGTATTGCCATACTGATACTCATAAAGGTAGTTCCATTTAGGCTCCCCAAGTAGAATCATGTGGCCACAGAGGAATGAAGAAACTAGTAATATTGACATCTATTCACATAGGGCAGGCTCTGGACTTTGTCACGGATCGACTCTCAAGCCACTGCCATAATTGAAGGATGTGGAAGTGATCAGGAATTATCAAACTTTTGCACACAAGTAAAACGCAAGGTAGCATGAGGGGAAAGGGGACAGTCATTGCTTGAAGGAACACAGGAAAGTGTTAGCAGATTGGGATATAGCGACAGTTATATACATTCATGTTTACATGAAGCAAGTACATCAAAACCTTTGTATGAAAATGTTTAGTAGTTACTGTGGTACAACAGAAGACCAGATCAATATCATATTTTTTAACAGCTTTCTTGCAGCTAAACTTACAGACAATACAATTTACACATTTAAAGGGTATAATTTGATGAATGTTATTAAATGCATAGAGTTGTTCAGCCATACCATAATCAAGATTTAGACATTTCCATCACTCCAGAAAGTCCCATCATGCTTGAATGCAATTAATCCTTGCTCCCACCCCGAGCCTCAAACCACAGATATGCTTGGTGTCTCTGTGGATTACTTCACTCCAGAAATTTCGTGTAAATGTAATCATACAATATTTGGTCTTTTGCATATGTCTTCTTTCACTTCACATATGTTTTGAAGGTTTATCTATATTATGGCATATCCATACTCATTCCTTTTATTGGCAAAGAATAATCTTAATATATCACATTTTAAACACATTCATCAATTAGTGAACATTTGGGTTGTTTCCAGTTTTGGGCTATTGCAAATAAGGTTGCTATATACATTTGTATATTATTTTTTTATGTAGACATATGTGTTGATCTTGGGTGTGTACCTAGGAATGGAATTGCTGGGTCTTATGAGAAAAAAAATTCAAACTTGTGTTTATATTGGTATGGATTCATGTATACCTATGTTAAAGGCTTGCATATTTTATTGAACAAATGCATCACAATAGAAACTCCAAAGTCTTGGTATCTGTGGTGCAGACTGGAATATGAGTGCCAGGGAGATTTGAACACTCAGATTCCTGGCAGCCTTAGGGCACAAAGCTTTGATGAAATTTCAGGTTTTATTACTGAACAGGCATTAACAACATAGTTCCCCTGATTTGCTTAACCTCTCCTAACTTCCTATAACCTGACCTAAACTATGGATTTCACAATAGGTTACTTGGATGAAGGTTAAGGTTAAATGATACATAACTTAGAGTATGATATGTTTACATTAGCTTTTAAGACATTAATACCCTCTCTCACAGAATAAATACCTGTTGTCTGACTGAGCCCCTGTCTGCCATCTTAAAAGACAGTCAGTTCACATGGTTCCCATACACAGGTCTCTTGGACCTAGGGGCAGGATTTCACTTTCATCATCATTATCCTCATCATCACCAAGAGGGGTTGTTGAGTAAGCATCTATGAGGGAGTATAAAATGACTAGTTCCTAAGCCTTGGTGGCTCATCATCCACAGAAGTCCCTGAGTTCATGCAATGTTTCTTAACTTTCTTTCATTACTATGATCCAAAGGAGGCTTTTAGACATTCATTTTTTTCCTCATTAGCTCTTTCGTGCCTGAAACATGAAATTTTAACAGTACAAATATCGTGTTAACTGTTTATGTGCTATGTGGTTCATTGTGGTGCCACAAACCATTGTAATGTCTACCGTCCCACTACCCTCCAGAATCAGTTTTCAGCCCCTTGATGACAATACCTCCTCTGTTGAGAATCCATGGACTTTGTGATGAGGGCAAAAGCTGTAACTTCATTCCTGTCTCTTACTTGATGTATGATGCTAGAATCCTTTCTTAGCCCGTCAGCCTGTTCTTGGTCATCTGTAAAAGGAACTCACAATGCCTTTCTCACAGAACTGTTCTGTGGGGTAAATGAGAAATCCTGTACAGAGTAGATGGCTTCTAGTAGGACTTGAACAAATGTTTGTCCTAGCCTACCTTTTCCTTCCCTCTCAGAGAATTGATGACTGTCACCTAATCCAAACAGCATAACTGCCACAAAGACCACCGGGAAATGGAGCAGGAAGGAGTAGAACATTATGAATGAAGTATTGCAGCCATTTCTGTGTTGCAGGGTAACTTTGCTGAAGGATTGAGGGAGACTGAAGAAGCTCATTGAACTATTTTCTTTAATTCCTTGTCATTTTCTGCTCCCTTGTTTGATCTTCTAGATTGATATTGGAAAAGCAGTTTCCCATTGAATCTCAAGTGAAGAGAGAGTGAAGATGAAAAGGAAGTAGGATTCACAAGCCCTTGACCCTCATACTAGACCCATTACCACCAACAGTACCTTGCACTGGGATTTCATCTGCACCATCAGCTTCTTCAAAGAGAGAGAGGTTGTTGAGTGAGTACCCGTAAGGGCACAATCCTAGCAACATATAAAACTACAAGTGTTTAAGTCTTAGACGGTGATCATCTATAAAGGGAGACCATGTGTTGTCCTTTGAGGAGAGTAAGAGTTACATCCTCAACCTCTGCAAAATTGATTCCTCCATCAGTGAGTCTGAGTTGGTCATCTCTAAACTGGAAATAATGATGTCTTCCTCATGGACTTGTGAGAGAATTACACAAGGCATACAACTGTTTTCAAACTTTTAGCTAAGTTAGTGCTGTTATCCAGCTTTTCATTCACTGAAGATAGTATTTCTGAGATTTCTCTAATAAGATGACTCTGGGATTGTTTTGATATGACTAGCCATGTTGTTGTGACCATGATTGTATACCTTTTCTGGTGAAACATGCATGATTCTCTTTACAGTCCATAATTAAGAGAGTAGCATCTGATGGAGGCCTCATTTTCTTTTCTCATAGATGTTGCCAAATGTCTCTGCAAAGAGGTTTTACCAATTCATTCTTCCCCATTAGTATATGATGTTCTTTTCACTTAAATTTTCCATTTAAATGGGATGTGGTATAAACACACACTATCAGTTATCAGGATTTATTTCTAAACTCAATAATTATTCTATGATATATTCTGAGGCATAAATGTAAACTATGTCATTTATTTAAAAACGTGACAGAAAAAATGAAAAGGATTCTAACATTATAATGCCAGAATATCAGATCAGCAAATACTTTAAAAATCTTGTGAAACTTATCATTTGTTCAGATCTGTAAAAGCAGGTGCTCTCTTCTCATAGTTGGTTGGGATACATATTAATAAAAAGATTGTACAGTACAGCAATGTTAATTTTTTATGCTTTTTGAGGAAACAGTTATAGTGTGTGAATTTAGCCTCCTGATACAGCAGGAAGAGCCCTGGCAATCATCACTGATCTGTCCACATAGCTCAGAGAAGAGCTGCCCATTTTCCTAGCTGATTCAAAGCCTTTAAGTCCCCTCTTCCTGAGGCATTGTTTGATAATGTAGATTTTATTATTATTTAAGATAGTGAGGCCACGGGATCAGGAGACAACTGCCATTAAGGAGATGGTTTATTACTCAAAGTTCCCAAGAGGAGGCACTCTCCATTCCACGCAAGTCCATGCAGAGCACCAATTTAGGCAGGAGGCAGAGGGTGCAGGAAGTAAACATGGCAAAAGACTTTACTGTGGTTTTCCATAATAAATGACAGACAAGGCAGGGTAAATAGGCTTAGGACTGACTACTCGAAATAATTTCAGCAGGTTCTGGAGTACAGGGGCTGTCCTAAGTTGTCTGAAGTTGTTACTGGAAAGAGGTCCTGATCCAGACCCCAAGATAGGGTTCTTCTATCTCATTCAAGAAAGACTTTGAGACAAGTCCATAAAGTAAAGTGAAAGTAAGTTTATTAAGAAAGTAGAAGAATAAAAGAATGGCTACCCCATAGGCAGAGGAGCCCTGAGGGATGTTGGTTGCCCATTGTTAATGGGTATTTCTTGATTATATGTTAAACAAGGGGGTGGATTGTTCATGAGTTTTCTAGGAAAGCTTTGGGCAGTTCCCAGAACTGAAGGTTTCTCCTCATTTTAGACCATATAGGGTAACTTCCTGATGTTTTCATGGCATTTGTAAACTGTCATGGTGCTGGTGAGAGTGTCTTTTAGCATGTTAATGCAATATAACTAGCATATAATGAGTAGGGAGGACAACCAGAGGTCACTTTCATAGCCATTTTGGTTTTGTTAGATTTTAGCCAGCTTCTTTACTTCGACTGTTTTATCAGCAAGGTCTTTATGACCTCCTATCTCATCCCGTGATTAAGAATGCCTTGACCTTCTGGGAATACAGCCCAGTATGTCTCAGCCTTATTTTACTCAGCCCCTATTCAGAATAGAGTTTCTCTGGTTCAAATGCATCTGACAGAATCAGGCTCCGGTATGATTAGGGAGGGTACTATTGGCCTGGAGTATAACAGTCCAGTAGAGGAGATGTAAGTGTGTATGTGTAGGTGCTCTAGATTAGTTTGCATATAAAAGGTGTATTCCTTAGGTGAGTTCTTTGTTAGGACTAGGAATTAGCTAACCCTGGAAGGAGCAGTCCCTCCCCAATTAGCAAGGCCTCAGATGCCAGATCACGCATACAAGAAATAAGAAAAAAAAAAATACTTCTACTATTATCTGTCTGTTGATCCAAACAGAAAAATCTGTCTCATGCTGGATACCCACTTTAGGTGGACCATCCAGGAATCACTGCAAGCTTTGATATGGAGCAGTCCTCAGGTTCCTACTCCTAGAGGGACCTGTAGACCTCTGACCTCAGCCCTGTCTGGGAGAAATCTCTTTTGCTCTTCCTTCTCTGTGTCCTCAGAGGTCCTCCCTTTCCTACAAGATAAGCAGCCCAATACTTTCCTAAAATTTTCATAAAAGATGGAAGAAATACTGACTTCATGTCTGAAGCTTCTGCTTCTAGCTGTGCTGTAAAGCATTCCTGAGGCAAGGGGAAGGGACACCAAACCTGGATCCTTGCTGGAAATGCCACCAGCACCTCAGGGTGTCCACAATGACAGATTCTATTCCTGGCTCTGGCAGTAGGCGTGGTGAGCAATGTCTTTGCCATCCTTCTCTAGTAAGGAATAGTATGTGCTTTGTAATCACATACATCTGTGAGGAGAGAATAGCAATACCTCGCTTGCAGGGCTATTGTGTGTATTGATTCCAACTAACGTGAAAAATGTAGCACTAGGCTTGGTTAAAAATTGGCTTCATAATATTAGCTATCTTTCCTCTTTGGGGCCCAAAGTTCGTATGACTTCTAACCTGTCCCCTCACCCAAGCTTCCTTAACCACGTTGCAGATCAGAATCACTTTAGGATCCCTTTCTAAACCCTTATCTGAAACTCCTTTGTTGGTGAAATAGGACTTCTGTATTGAAGGCCATTAAAGTTATGAAGTTGTAATAATGTATACACCTCAAAAAAATGTATACACTAATTTGGCACCAACAATGTATCCAAGTGTTCATTGCCCCTTTATTCCAGAAACACCGGGTATTACCAGCTTTTGTCTTTTTTTCCCACAATCTGATCTGCTTGTTTTTGCCAGACATTTCCCATTGGAAGAATCATATCAGATGGTCATTAAACTTACTTATTCACAGGGTCATCCATCCCTTAGACTTTCCAAATTTAAAACAAAACAAAACAATATGACTAGTTGAATTTGAACTTCAGATAAACAAAATTAGGTATACTAAAACATTCAGATTTACCTAGATGTACTCTATTTTATCTTTCTACCCTTTCCATGGAAGACTCTGTATTGAACCAAGGTGCTCTACACAGTAGCCGCAGCTGAGCTCCCAGCAGATGCCAGCATCAGTCATCATCCATGTGAGTAAGCTTTTATGGAAGTCCCAGGATGCATACATCTGTATTCAGATGATTGCAGTCCCTGATAACAGACACCACATTGAGCAGAAATCACCCAGCTGAGCCTAGTCAACACACAGAATCCTGACAGATAATAAATGGCTATTGTTTGGGATGTTTTGTTAAGTAGAAATGAATATCCAAAACATGTTTTTTGTTTGTTTGTTTTTGAGATGGAGTCTCACTCTGTTGCCCAGGCTAGGGTACAGTGATACTATCTATCTCAGGTCACTGCAGCCTCTGCCTCTTGGGTTCAAGTGATTATCCTGCCCCAGCCTCCCAAGTAGCTGGGACTACAGGTGCACACCACCATGCTCGCTAATTTTTGTATTTTTAGTAGAGACAGGGTTTCACCATGTTGGCCAAGCTGGTCTTGAACTTCTGACCTCAGGTGATCCGCCTGCCTCAGCTTCCCAAAGTGCTGGGGTTACAGGCGTGAGCCACTGCACCTGGCCCAAAACATATGGATTTGGTGAACTTTCCCTCTTTTTCTGTAATCTATTATATTGGAATTTATAGAGATTCTCTTAGCCTTAAAGCCTTGATAGGACTTTGTTATAAATTTTGCCATAATCTGCATGAGTTTATGGGTTGGTGTTGAATAATGAACATTTCCTCAATTCCTTCTTAAAGGAATTTCAAGGAAAAATTTCATAATATATGATTTTCAACCCACTCTTAGAATTTAGAACCTAATTCCAATCCCCCTCCATAAAGGGAGCTTCTACTGCAATCGCTCATTTTAAGGAATTCAGAGGCTGTTACTACAAACTACTCCCAAGCCATATGGAAAATTATATCTTCACCAGGTTGCTTGTTGAATATGCTATTGAGACAAGGGATATCTATCTCTCGTGAACTGTTTCTCAAAGAAGGTGTCCTGAAATACTTTCTCCTCCTACAGGGATAGCCCTTGGCAAGGTGTTTACTTTCCTTGGGCACACATAATCAGGGCTCCTTCAGGAGACAGCGCGTGGTTAACTGTTCATTGCAGTCCTTGCCCTTTATGACTGTCCCAATGCAGCAGTGCTGGATGGACTAATCTGTCCAGTTCTGGGGTTCATTCGTAGAAAACCCAAGCCCATGTAGCAGTAAATCTAAGTTATATTCTCCAATATTACTTTTATGAGGAATAAAGTCAATATATTGTACTTATTACTTTTCTGTGATTTTTTTAGATGGTTTAGAGTTCAGACTAAGAGTAGGAAGGTATTTTAGGGGCTTCTTAAACACAAAAGCATTGTGAAGCAAGACCACAGAAATAGTTGAGGAGCAAATGAGGCACAGAAGGGGAGTAGAGCTGTAGGCCTATTGTAAGACCCATCCCTGAGGACAGAGCAATCATTCTGATTGCCCCTGAAAGGCAGCTTACTATTTAGAGCTTCGAAGGGAGAGGACCTGGGTTGAATAACCTGTTTCTCCTTTCAAACCCATCAGTCAGTTAAGTCATTCCTGTAACAGAGGAGTGAGTGTATAGAGATGCCACATGTTTTTTCCCATGGATATCTCTCCACATCGAAAAAGTATCAAAAATGTAGGATAAAAATTTTCTAGGATAACCCAATTTATTACTGAATTGACTAGATGTCTGCCTACTAAATGATATTATTATAGGCCTGCTTACATGAAATAAATTTGGGATTCCTTAAATGACATTTTATGGTATTTTAGATCATTTAGATCATTTTAGTCATAAATATGATTATAGACAGTCTCTAGTTTTCCACCACAGATGACTAAGCACTTAGCATGATGTGTGACTTTTGCACATTCACTCTCAGAGGGCTACCTCATCACTAAGAGCTCTGGGGTCCTCCTGGATCTCTGGATGCTGGTGATACTCCTCTACTGTTACTTTTAAACAAATTTTTGATCACTGGGACCTGCTTTCTTCCACCAAACCTGGCAGAGTTCCCCCAATTGCCTGGATCCCAGCCTAGTTCCTCTAGTGAGTATGCTTTCTCAGATGGTGGTCTAAAGTGTGAATGTATTTTGCTTTCAGCTATAGGCAAAGGAACTATGCAAAGGCATGTGAGGTATACAGGACAAGTCAGTGTACCACAGTTGCCATAGAAACCTGAAGTCATTATAGGGCTTTTGCATCTTTTAATAGAGCAGAAAACCTAGAATAATATGGCTATGAGAGCAAGGCCCTACCTTCAGGTGTCTGGGACTCAGCTGAGGGGGTGGGTGCCCCATGGTAGGGGCTGAACTACCCTGCGGTTTGGGGAGTTGAAGGGATCCCAGAACCAAGTTGCCTCATTCTCACTTCAGGACTCAGTAGCCCGGCTCTCTCATGAATTAGAGAGATATAGGACTCTTCTCACTCCAGTGAGTGTTGTGTATTGCTCCAGGGTGTCCTGGAACTACTTTCCATGTAAAGGCCAGGTGTGGGAGGATGAGACTGGTAATGACTCTCTTTGACCTCAGCTTCCCCCTCTGTAAAATAGGGTTAAGAATGCTGACATACAGGATTGCTGCAACCAGGATTGTGATAACCCAAATGCAAGCCCATAGCCCTGTGGTTATTGCAGAATCAGGAATGCCTGTGTGAATTGAGGTTACTTTTCATTCCTTTTCTTTTCTTTTCTTTTCTTTTGACATGAAGTCTTGCTCTGTAGCCCAGACTGGAGTGCAATGGCATGATCTCAGCTCACTGCAACCTCTGCCTCCTGGGTTCAAGCAATTCTCCTGACTCAGCCTCCTGAGTAGCTGGGATTATAGGCACATACCTCCATGCCCGGCTAATTTTTGTATTTTTAGTAGAGATGGGGTTTCATCATCTTGGTCAGCCTGGTCTCAAACTCCTGACCTCGTGATCCACCCGCCTTGGCTTCCCAAAGTGCTGGTATTACAGGCGTGAGCCACCACACTCGGCTTCATTCCTTTTCAATGTTGTTGTTAGAAGATAGATTAGGAAAGGAAAAGAAAAAAGCCCCAGTGAGAAGTCCACTGACGACCATTCTAATTGTTATGATCACTGCTCAATTGTATCAGTGTCATTGGTCACTAACCCAGTGCCTAACATGGTGCCAGGCACATACTTACTCTAATAAAGCACAGTGATTGCTGGGTTCTCTCTCTTCTTGTGCAGCTCTTCATGTGGATGTCTGAGCTCATATCAGGTCTGAAGGAGGCAGATTCTGAGGATTTGAGTCATGATGGCTGCCAAAGCTTCTACTCCTGATTTAAAGGGCAACAATCCTAGGAGACCAGCAGCACTTACATCCCTGGTAGGATATGACACCTGCATATGGTGAGTTCATAGATCTGAAAAAAAAAGCATGTTGTGGAATAGCTCCTGTGAGGTTCCCAAAATAGCCTAAAAGTAAAGAAGCTACTTTGATCTCATCACTGGGGAAGAGGTTTAGTGGGTGGAATTTCCTTTCATCAGCAGCTGCATGCTTTGAAGTAGTCCTTGACACCCATCTAAGTGATGCCTGCTTTGAAAGCAATGAATTAGCCACACGGAAAAAAGAACTTGATCTTAATATGCACTTACAATAAATGCATATTTTTCTGACTGTATAAGTCATTCCCATGTATCTCGCAGATAGGGGCTGAACTATGTAGTTGGTTAGCAGGTGTTCCTAGGAGTTTGATTCATGTAGTAATATTCTCCTTGCAGTCCGTCAGTTTTAGCCTCATTTTAATTTTTTAAAAAGACTTTCTCAGAAAAAACAAAATTGAGGGAATTCCACAGGAATTTTATTATCAACTTGTTAATTTCTGAAAAAAAGAAAATATGCTAGTATTTTGACTGGGATCCCATTGAAAGCACAGATCATTGTGGGGAGAACAGACATCATAACAAAACTGAGTCATCCAACTCAAGAAGAGAAAAAAAAGGCCTAGAGACAGTCTACAGGTCAACTCTAGAAAGATCAATCTATGAAAGAATAGTTATAATACTTCCAATTTTATATTTGTGATTAGAATTGAATCCGTTGAATTGTGTTTTTCTTCCTTTTCTTCCTTACCTGATGAATCCTGAGTTCTTTGGTGGTAAGAGGGAGGGAGAGAGCATGTGTATATATCAGTGTATGTACATGCACATATATGTTTGTATCACTGAAGTTGTGATGAGTGTCTATTGTTAGGAACACTTAAGGAGTGTTAATGTGGTCACATCAGTCCCTTTCAACTCCTCACACATTTTATGAACCAAATCAGAGTGATTATTCTTTGCATTTTTTCCACCTTTCCTCAGCCAGCATGGTTACCATGGTGACTCAGTGACTACTGTGGAATTTTGTGCAGACTGAGCATCCATGTATGATTCTTCTCTAAATTACTCACACCCAGTTGTCTGTCCACCAGACATAGTATGAGCCTTTGATTTTATGTGCAGTTGTTCACTTTTAAAGGGCTTAGAAGAAACTTGCTTTGCTTCTCTGAGGTTAAGCTACATAACATAAGAGGATAGTAAGTAACTTAAAAGAAAAAGAAATGGGTTGTTGATATTCTTCTCCTTCCTCAAGCTTTATCAGGAGGTTAGAAGAAATATTATCGGAATCATACGGCATGGACTCTTGTGTCTGGCTCCCTTCAATCAACATATGTGTGTGAGATTAACATTTGTTGTTTGTAGTTGTAGATTATTCATTCTCGTTGCTGTAAAGTATTATATTGTTTGGCTATTTCACAATGTAGTTATCTGTTATAGGAACTTGGGTATTTTCCAGTTTTTAACTTATCATGAGTAATGATGGTACGAACATTTTTGTTTGTGTCTAATGGATGGGCATATATTTTCATCTCTCTCGGGCGTATACCAAAGAATAGCATTTCTGAGTCATAGGGTATGTCTGTGTGTGGCTCCATAGATACCACCAAGCAGTTTGTTAAAGTGGTTTTTTTTTCAATCTGTATTCCCACCAGCAGTGTGTGAGTGTTTCACTTAATCCATGTCCTCACCAACACGTGATATTTTCCATTTTTTCCATTTTTGTTGTTCTAGTGAGCATGTGGTAGTATCTTTTCCTGGTTTTAATTGTAATTTCTCCATAGTGTTAAGTCTCTTTTAATTCAAAGAAGGTCTATCCTTTTTTTCAACATTCTACCTTAGTCAGAGTTCTCCAACGAAACAGAACCACTCATATATATGTGTGTATATATACACACAAATATATATGCACATACACATACTCATATGTATGTATGTATGTATATGTGTATGTGTATATGGACACAAACACACACACACACACACAGAGACATTGCAGAGATATTGCAGGTTCAGCTGCAAACCTCTGCGGTAATGCAAATATCATATTAAGCAAGTCACGTGAATTTTATGGTTTCCCACACTGCATATAAAAGTTATGTTTACACTACTGTAGTCTGTTAAATATGCAATAGCATTATGTCTATAAAAATGGTGTACTTACCTTAATTTAAAAATACATTATTGCTTCATCTGAGCCTTCAGTGAATCATTATCTTTTTGTTAGTGGAGGGCCTTGATGCTGTTGATGGCTAACATATCAGGGTGGTGGTTGCTGAAAGTTAGCATGGTTCTAATAATTTCTCAAGATAAGACAAAAATGAATTTTGTTGCATCCATTGACTCTTCTCACAAGATTTCTTCGTAAGCATGTGATGCTATTTGATAGCATTTTACCCAAAGTTGAAGTTATTTCAAAACTACAGTCAATCTTCTCAAACCCTGCCACTGCTTTATCAAGTTTATATAATATTCTAAACCTTTTGTTGTCATTTCAGTGATGGTCACTGCTTCTAAACTAGGAGTAGATTCCATCTCAAGCAACCACTTTATTTGCTCATTCAGAAGAAAAAACTCCTTATCTGTTCAAGTTTGATCATGAGATTGCAGCAATTCTGTCACATCTTCAGGCTCCACTTTAATTCTGGTTCTCTTGCTATTTCTACCACATCTGTAGTTACTCTTCCACTGAGGTCTTAAACCCCTCAAAGTGATCCATGAGGGTTGTAATCAACTTCTTCCAAATTCTTGTTAATGTTGATATTTTGACCTTTTCCTATGAATCACAATGTTCACAATGGCATGTAAAATGATGAATTCTTTCTAGAAGATTTTTCCATTTACTTTGACTGGGTCTGCCAGAGGAATCATTAAGCAGTAGCCCTCAATAGTGGGCTTAAAGTATTCAGTAAACTATGCTGAAAACAGAGGTGCTGTTGTTTAGGCTTGTTGTTTTATTTCTAGAGTACAGGCAGAGTATATTTAGCATAATTCTTAAGGGCTCTAGGATATTCAGAATGGTAATTGAACGTTGGCTTCAATTTTAAGTCACTAGCTTCATTAGCACCTTAAAAAAAAAAAAAAAAAAAAAAAAAAAAAAAAAAAACGAGTCAGTCTGTCCTTTGAAGCTTTGAAGCCAGGCATTGTCTTCTACTTTCTAGCTATGGAAGTTCTACATGACATCTTTTTCACTATAAAACTATTTTCTCTACATTGAAAATATTTTGTTTAGTATAGCAATCCTCATCAATTATTTTACCTATGTCTCTGGATAATTTGCTGCAGCTTCTACATGAGCACATGCTACTTCACCTTGTACTTCCATATTGTGGAGATGGGTTCTTTCCTTAAGCCTCCTAAACCAACCTTTGCTAGCTCCAGTTTTTCTTTTCTCACTTTTCTTCTGCTGCTTCCTCATGTTTCTTAGCCTTTATAGCATTGAATAGAGTTAGAGCCTTGCTCTGGATTAATCTTTGGCTTAAGGGAGTATCATAGCTGGTTTGATCTTCTATCCAGGTCACTAAAACTTTCTCCATATCAGCAATGAGGCTGTTTTGCATTCTTTTCATTCATGTGTTCACTGGAGTAGCGCTTTTAATCTCCTTGAAAAATGTTTACTTTGCATTCACAACTTGGCTGTTTGGTGCAAGAGGCCTAGCTTTTGGCCTATCTTGACTTTTGACATGCCTTGTTCACTGAGTGTGAATATTTCTAGCTTTTGTTTTAAAGTGAGACACATGGGACACTTCCTTTCAGTTGAACATTCAAAGCCATTATAGGGTTAATATAATAGCCCAATTTCAACATTGTTGTGTCTCAGGAAGTAGGGAGGCCTGAGGACAGGGAGAGAAACTGAGGAGCAGCCAGTCAGTGAAGCAGTCAGAGTACATACATTTACCAATTAAGTTAGTCATTTTAGATGGGTGTAGTTTGTGGTGCCCAAAAACAATTACAACAGTAACATCAAAGACCACTGTTCACAGATCACTACAACAGCTATTACAACAATAATGAAAAACTTTGAAGTATTGTGAGAATTACTGAAATATGATAGAAACACAACGTGAGCACATGCTATTGGAAAAATGGTGCCAATAGACCTGCTTGATGCAGGGTTGCCGTAAAGTTTCTGTTCATAAAAAAATGCAATATCTGTGAAGTCCAATAAAGCAAAGTACAATAAAATGAGATATGCCTGTATGTGTGTACACATGCATACACACACACACACACACACACACACACACACACACACACACAGGATCCTTGACTTATTACAGAGTTATATCCCATTAAACCTATCCTAAATTGAAAATATCGTAAGTCAAAAATGCACTTAATACACCTAACCTACTAAACATCATAGCTTAACCTAACTTGCCTTAAACATACTCAGAATCTTTACATTAGCCTATACCTGGGAAAAATCATTCAATACAAAGTCTGTTTTATAATAAAGTATTGAATATCTGGTGTAATTTATTGAATACTGTACTGAAAGTGAAAAATGGTTGTATGGATACTCAAAGTATAGTTTCTGCAGAATGCATATCACTTTTGCACTACCATAAAGTTGAAAAACTATAAGTTGAACCATAGTAATAAAGATTTATTATAAGCAATTGGCTTATGTAATTATGAAGGCTTTATTATAAGTAATTGGCTAATGTAATTATGCAGATGTTGAGATTTCTCAACATCTGCAGTAGACAAACTTGATTTCCAGGAGAGCCTGTGGTGTAGTTCATATTCAAAACTGAAGGTCTAAGAATCAGGAGAGTTAATGATGTAAATTTCAGGCCAAAAGCCTGCTGGCTAGAGACACAAGCAAAGGTGATTTGAATTCATGTCCAAAGGCAGAAAAAGACTAACATTTCAGTTCAGGAAATGAGGCAGAGAAATTCCTCCTGGTTAGTCTTTTGTTCTGTTCAGACTTCAATTGATTGCATGAGGCCTAGGTACATTAGAGAAGGCAATCTTCTTTACTCAGTTCACCCATTTATATGTTAATCTCATCCAGAGACACCATC